GAGAATCTCATATCTTAATATGTAAACACTGTCCCATTGTAATTGGTTGGAAGGTTACAGTAGAGTATTCAACAGACTAAATCTGGCCACTTCTTGAAAGCTCTGTGCCACTTTGAAAAAAAAATATTTTTACACACACACAAATCAGCAGGTCTGAATTGATCTACACATGTTGGATTCATAGTGTTTTAAGCACCAGTTTGTGTATAAAGTATCCTTCTACAAAAATAAGCCTATCTCAGATTCAAGATGTACTATACTAAAATTAATGCTATAAATAATAATAAGTTGTATCATAGTTTAATTCTTTCTTCTCCAGATGCATTAATCCAATGCAACTGTTTCTTTTTAGGATCATAAACCAAAACAACTAAGGTAACTTGCATGAGACTTTGTACAAACTGTAAAAAACAAAATTACTATTTCTATAACTTTCAAATAAGAAAAATATGACAAAATTAAGTATTGGCAAAAAGAGAGATTTTGAGAAGCTATTTCTAAAAACAGTGTTCAACATTCATGAAAAAATTACTTGTAAAGATGCCGAATACTATTACTGTTACCTTACATAACTAAATAAAATACTCAAATAATAAGTTTTTATACTTTATATATTATTTAAATATATTTGTGGCAAGTTTAAAATATGAATTTTGACTATCAAACAAGATATACATTTCTGAAACATGATAAGTTTCACAGTGTGACTGGGTAGATATCACACACACACTGACAAAAGATTAACTACTCCTTTTAGAGAAATTAATATTAACAGAATGCTTGTATTATCAAAAATTAGACATTTAGTTTACATGTACAGAATTTGAGATCTTATTTTCTCAAAGTAATAAAAAACTACATTAAAAATTTAAGCAAAAAAAGCTCAGGTAAAAATAAATGTTCATACCTTGTGCCCACTGAGGTATTTGTTTCTTTGGGTCTGCCTCATCATCAGTTTCATCATCTGACTTTAAATCCCCAATGTCATAGTTATCTGGATTTTTTAGCTTTTGAGACTGAGCTGGTCGCTGAGGTGTCATTTCATAACTAGAAATTTATTAATTTTCTTTATGAAGAAATGACATTTAATTAAAACGAAAATTCAACTACAACAGACAATTTCCAAAAGTAAGAATATTTTCATGCATGTTTTGAAGTAATGAAATAAATTTATTGAGAGAGTTATCATATACACCACAGTCCAGCCTAGTCATCAAAAAAGAAAATTAGATAAATTACAGTAGATAATACTGTCAAACTTTGGGGATGGAAAATAATCCTAACAACTTCAGTTTGTTAAAGACAAAATTTCATGAAACTTTTTCTTCTTTTAAAAAATTGAATAATTTTGTTTAGTTCTCAATCTTATCAGTAAAAATCTGTTATAAATACTTTAATATTGAATTAAAAAAAAAACACAAACTTCTTCAGTCATGATAAACATTGATAATACATACTGATTGCACAAACTTTATAGATGTACACATAATAACATGCAAAGAACAACTATATTATAAATGAAAGTTCACTTCAGTGAATGTGCCATTTTTGGACAGAAAGCAAACGTCATATCATAACAAAACCATAAAAACTGTTAACCAGATGATCAGAGACTACCATATACTCACATCTTAGTTTCAATAATATTGTAATTTTTTTTTTTTAATACACACATGTAAATTTTTGTATCCTTAAAGCTAGAAAAGTTCTCTCTCAAGCATTTGTAATTATCATTAAATTAAGATATGGTTTTATCAGCTAAAATTAAATAAGTTTGGGAAAAACAAATTTTGATCAATTAACCATAAAAACTTGATAAACTCAGTTCTGGTTTCGTATTACTCACCAATTCACTTCCTTTTCATTTTCCTCTGTGATGTATGTTTTGTTTAGTTCAGATTTCGGGATACTTTCCTGAGCTGGTTCATCTTTTCCTTTAACATAGGTAGAATTCAACTCTGCTGGTGAATTCTCGTTGGTTACCATTCCAGATTTCAGATCTTCTGGTGACGTTATACAAGTTACAGAATCAATTTTGGGCACGTTCACAATGCATTCCATTTTTTTTTGAGCCTCAGGTTTCTCTTTTGTAAAAATACTGTTCATTATGGCTTTCTGCTGAAGATTGTTGTTGTGCTGGTTGATAATTGCCTTAAAGGTTTAAAAAATATCAAAATGCAAATTTCGAATAGCAAAATTCACAAAAAATTAATTAATACATTATTCAGAAAAAATTAATAATACACAATGCATGTACAATATCATATTCAAATATATCAATAACTGGTTTAGGTAAGCTGTAAATTTTTACTTGCTTTTCCAGGTTTTGAGATAATTTTAAAATTTTCACTGACTTTTCCAAGTTCATGGCCACACAAAGTATTTCCTTTTTTAATAAAAATGGTGTCATAAGTACCCAAATATCACTTAATCCAGTGCACTATTACAAATATCCATATGAATGGTGTTAAAAAAATGATGTATAAAATTAAGTAACATGCAAAAGGGAGACAAAGAATGCAACATTATGAACTGAAAAAAGACCTAAAAGTAAAAGAAAACAAACAAGTTAACTTACATTAAAAATTAATTAATGCTCACTTCCCCATCTAATAATAAAATAACACTGTTATGATTATGACAGCCTCTATTCCTACCAAATCAATTTGAAAATTTTAGATGTCAAGGATCAGAATAAAGAACTTAACAAAAATTAATTTAATTTTTATTTTTTCGATTCCAAATCTGTCATGCTCTAAGAAAAAAAAAATATACCTTTCATTACTCATACCTTAAGTTTCTCAAATTCCTGTTTCTGTTTTTCAAGTCCTTGAAGTCTTTGTCTTTCAATTTCATCCTAAAACAATGAATTAGTTCTAATAAATTTACAACCCTTTAAAACAAGGTCTCACAAAAAAAGAAAGAAAAAATCAGGACTTTAACTAAAATCATCATTTTCTCAGATTTGCTCCAATATAAAAGATCTCTTGAACATAATGTTGATGAATATAAGTTTGTTTGTTTTATTACAAAGACACACAATAAATAGGTTATTCTCACTGTTTCCACCAAGGTGAATCAAACTCCAGACTTTAGGGTTCTAAATCTATAAACATACCACTCACCCACTGGAGGACATGAATGTATCAGATACTTTTTTGGTGTGGGTGTATTTGCCTTGATATTATTGCATCAATTCTTTACTCATTAACCATAAAGAATGCTTTAATTTTTGTGCAATCAATGCATGTTTGTTTGCATAACTCCCAAGAACATTCAGTTAAACTTCAATTAGCTTTGAATATACACACAAAAATACAATTGTATTTCAGCATTAATGTTTCTTGTGACTTGTGTAAATCTTAAGTGAAAATAATGTCACAAGTATATAGAAAACTGAATTTAAAATATTCAATTTCACATTAATGCTCACTAGATTTATAACACAATGACTATCAACAGTTTCTGAATTATTACATATAAATGTCAAAAAAGAACTCATCAATTGCTGAAATGAAATAAGAAAATACTTGCCTCATAGTCCTATGTTTTAAGTTTTCCACTCATTAGTGGCTAATATTGTTATAAGCCACTTTCAATCCAATTTGGCATTCAGTTATGTTACAGCTAGTACACATCATGGCTATAAACCACTTCCATTCCTACATTACCTTGTTAGTACACATTGTGGCTATAAACCACTTCCATTCCTACATCACCTTGTTAGTACACATCGTGGTTATAAACCACTTCCATTCCTACATCACCTTGTTAGTACACATTGTGGCTATAAACCACTTCCATTCCTACATTACCTTGTTAGTACACGTCGTGGCTATAAACCACTTCCATTCTTACATTACCTTGTTAGTATACATTGTGGTTATAAACCACTTCCATTCCTACATTACCTTGTTAGTATACATTGTGGTTATAAACCACTTCCATTCCTACATTACCTTGTTAGTATACATCGTGGTTATAAACCACTTCCATTCCTATATTACCTTGTTAGTATACATCGTGGTTATAAACCGCTTCCATTCCTACATTACCTTGTTAGTACACATCGTGGTTATAAACCACCACCATTCCTACATTACTTGTTAGTACACATGGTGGCTATAAACCACTTCTATTCCTACATTACCTTTGTTAGTATACATCGTGGTTTATAAACCGCTTCCATTCCTACATTACCTTGTTAGTACACATGGTGGCTATAACCCGCTTCCATTCCTACATTACCTTGTTAGTACACATCGTGGCTATAAACCACTTCCATTCCTACATTACCTTGTTAGTATACATCGTGGCTATAAACCACTTCCATTAATACATTACTTTGTTAGTATACATCGTGGCTATAAACCACTTCCATTCCTACATTACTTTGTTAGTATACATCGTGGCTATAAACCACTTCCATTCCTACATTAC